CATTAGGTTTCGAATTCATTACGAGTCGGTAAATCTTGGATCTGATTTCGTGGCGATAAGATTAATTAGTACCTGTATCACAAGTGGTAATAGAGCACTTGTAGACTTTGGTACGCGCAACGAGATGGAGCTGCAATTCTCTTTCACGCTCTATATTCTACATTCCGCGATGGACGTTTAGAGGACATAGTTTTTAAAAATTATATAGGACGTTTTAAAATTACATAAATTATTCATTTAACGTAAAACGAATTCATGACTTTCTATTTGAAGTATGATAAATTAATCACTGCTCAAACATTGAACAACTCTTCACCCAGAGTTACATTTATGGAAAGGGCCATATATACGGACTCCTCAAATTCTTGACTTTCTATTTGAAGTATAATAAATTAATCACAACTCAAACATCAAACAACTTTACACCCTAAATTAAATTTATAAAAAGAGCCATATATACGGACTCCTAAAAATTTACTACTTTATGAAACCCAAGTACTTCAATTTCAAGTTGCTGAATTTCTAAACTAGATAAACTTAAATTTATAAATTCCTAATTCAGGAAAATTAAACTTCCAAATTCCTAAATTAGGAAAATGAAAAATTCTAAATTTCTGAAGTGCAAAATTTTAAATTTCATAAACACGTTCTCCTAAGAATAATTAATCGTATCAGTATATTTGCACTCCAGCAATCGGAAGATGGAATAAATTTACGGTAGTCACGAGGTATTATAAGAATGCAAAAGACGTCCGATAGAAAATTGAATTATTGCCAGGTAATTGCAAAGTAAACGATTGTAACAACGAGCACGTGTCACTACCGAGTTACTAGGCTTCTTGACACCCACATGGCCGTTGATTCCAGTTTACCTTGACGGTCGAAGGTGGTGCTAATTCAGCTTGGAAAAGGTGTACCCTTTCGGAAAAGTGACACGCTGGCAGGTGTCCAGTTTCCAACGAGTACTCACCGTGACAATGTTTCGATTTACAGTGGAATCCTGCAATTCACCCTTGAAAATTGCAGCGAAAATCTATTAACATCTCCAAACAAATCCTGATCAATTCTAGTACCGTCATCGTTAAATCGGAATTTGTCATAAGAATCATCGACAAGTTTGCGTGACAAAAATCTTGGAAAATCGCAGTCGCCTACACGGAACAGCCATTTTCGTTTGCGCATCTTTTAATTGTCCACCTCGATTTGCATCTGGAACTGCGTCATCGCGTAACATAATCCAAAGATGCGAACATTAGAATTTCAAGTGTAGGCGAGCAAACCTTGTCGAGAAGTTTGCCAATGGTTCGTCTCTTGTAAAGAAAACAAAAAAAAAAATGGCTGGACTTGTTAGCTTCATTCCTTACATTTGATCCAAATCATACAAAAGATGTTTTCACAGAATCTACATGTCATTCATTTGGCTATGAACCTGTCGTCTGCGGCATGGAATGAGAGATTAACTTGAAATACAATTTTATGTGGAGCTTTGTCTGCGGCTGCTAACCGCACCGGAAGGATGACAACATGAGACCATATTAATGAAATCCAAACTACAAGGCTTCATATTTTTTTAAAAAGAAAAATGTAGCAGTTTCATGTGACGCGACAAATGTGTTTGGTCATCGATGTATGTAACTAGGCAAATCAAGATATGTATCTCAAAGGCAAAGTTCACATTTACATTCCTTTAACGTGTTCAGTAGCTGAACTCTTTCTGGAAAAATGCCTTTCGTCTTCTTACATTTATGACCTTGCAAATATAACCATTTTGAGTTACATGGATAGAGAGTCCATTCGCAGAATGAATTTATGTATTGTTCTATTATGAGCTAATTTATATATTCTTTAATTATGAATCAATTTAAATATCTCTTAATTATGAACCACTACGATACTCAGTCCTTCAAAAGAGATGTGATAAAACAGTGAAGTAGCAATAATAGCCACACAATTTTAATGAACGATAACTATGTTCATCCCACGCTGTTTATCCTGCTTACGTATTTACCGATTTCGTAAGAGTTCTGCACCAAGCAGAACTAACACGGATCGATTAGGTTCGTCCGCGACACCAGAAACAGACAAAACAGGCCACGACCTATCGATACGTCCATAGAGAGACAATGTTGCCAACAGCTGTTGGCGGTCTCGACGATCACGTAGCATAGAATCGAAATCGCACTCTTATGCTCTTCCGAATGGACACCTGGACGCGCACCTGGCCTCACTTTGCTGCAGTTCCATGAAATGCTCGACTTACGTAATCGAATCTTATTGACATTGCGATTCTGGAATCGAGATGACTAATACCGCGAGTAATGTAACACTGAGACGATTAAATGTGGAAGATACAGAGTACGTTTTGTTTTTAATGCTCAAGATATGTTCTTCGTGATAAGCGAGTTTCATAATTTTAGACAAGTCATCTTGGGTAAAGATTATTTTTTGATAGGTAGCTGCTTGCTCAGGTAGTTAGCTGAGATGAGTCATTTTCTAAAGTCTTATAATTACAAAATGGACTAGTTTCAGGAAGAGGAGGACTCTAGGTCTATAGGTTTCAAGGGTTCTTTAGTTTCTAGGTTTTTAGCCTTCTAGGTACCTGGGTCTGAAGGTTCTTAAGATTTTTAAGGCTCCTACATCTCAAGGTTCCTAGGTCCTAGGTCCACAGGTCTCAAGGTTTTTATATTCTTAGGTAGAGACCTAAGGAGGTTTCAAGGTTCCAGAAGTCCTCAGGTCCCAAGAATCTTAAGTTCACTAGGTTCCACAGACCTAAGTTCCCTACGTCTCTAAGTCCTTAGCTCTCTAGGTTCCAAGGTTCCTGAAGTCCTCAGATCCCAAAACTCCTAAGTTCACTAGGTTATACAGATCTAAGTTCTCTACGTTTCTAAGTCCTTAGGTCTCTAGGTTTCAAGGTTCCTGAAGTTCTCAGATCCCAAGAATCCTAAGTTCACTAGGTTACACAGACCTAAGTTCCCCACGTCTCTAAATCCTTAGGTCTCTAGGTTTCAAGGTTCCTGAAGTCCTCAGATCCCAAAACTCCTAAGTTCACTAGGTTACACAGATCTAAATTCCCCACGTCTCTAAATCCTTAAGTCTCTAGGTTTCAAGGTTCCTGAAGTCCTCAGGTCCCAAGGATTCTGAGGTCCCTAGTACTCAAAGTCCCAAGTTCCCTATATTCTCAACTCTCACAGTCCCAAGTTTCCTACGTTCCTAGGTCTCAATGTTCCTAAGATCCCCATGTTCTTAGGTTTCAAGGGTACCAAGACTTCTACGTCCCTAAGTTCTTGAAGTTCACAAGTCCCGAAGTCTATAAGGTTCCTAGGTTTTGAAGGTCAAAAATTTCAATAATACCAACTTCCTAAAGATCACAAGATCTTCAGGTTCAAAAATTTGTCAACTCCTAAAACTATAAGGTTTGAAGACCTCAAACTTTCAAAGCCATAAAGTTCAAAAGTTTTAAGGGTTCTAAGGTTTCAAAATCTTAAAATTCGAAAGTTCTTTGGTTCCAAGTACCAAAGGCATAAAGTTAAAAAAATTCTAAGGGCTTTAAGGTTTGAAATCATAAAATTCCAAAGTTATTTGGTTCCAAGTATCAAAGCCATAAAGTTAACAAATTCTAAGGGCTTTAAGGTTTGAAAACCCTAAAATTCCAAAGTTCTAAAGTTCCAAGTATCAAAGTCATAATATGCAAAAATTCTAAAGTTTCTAAAGTTTCAAAATCCTAAAATTCCAAAGTTCTTTGGTTCCAAGTATCAAAGCCATAAAGTTAAAAAATTCTAAGGGCTTTAAGGTATGAAAACCCTAAAATTCCAAGGTTCTAAAGTCCCAAAGTATCAAAGTCATAAAGTGCAAACATCCTTATATCCAACAATCGAAACACTAAAACTCGACTCTCCAAAGTGTTCCAATTCCATAAATTCAAAAAGTTCCAAGCAAAAATTCCAGAATTGCAAAGTGCAATAATAGTTTCCAAACAGTCGAGCTCGCAATGTATCACTCCGGTTACATCATCGACTTTCCGGAAAAGGATTGGGCATAGTGGCTCGATGACAAGAGGAGTTATGCGATCAACGGCTAACTACGTTAATTATCGTATTTAATTGGCAATTTCTCGATTAACCAATCGACGATTTGCGTCGCCGATCAAAGTCGAACCGAGTTTCTCCCAGTCGAATTTCCGAGAACATAATTTCCCAAAGTTTTCACCCCAACACTTTCACCGCCCGATTAATTCTCCACCGTAATTAAAAACGTACTCGTGACATTTATATCGCGTGACAGATCGAAACGATAAAATTGTGGGTAATCGGAAATTTTTCTGCTCGAAATTACTGATACGCAGTTCAAAGGAAAGGAAACGATTCGTGGAAATTGTTGTTCAGCCAGTTTCACTAACCAGTGCAGTATGGGCATAACCGTAAACGGGTCACGGGATTATACGGGCAACCATGGTAATAAGGAAGGACAGATAGAAAGCTGCACGATAATATTCGATTCTTCGATAATCTAGTTCACTATTTTATGTCGTTGCGGTATTATTACATACCATTAGTCAGAAATTACGAACCGGTGCTTGATATGCCTTTACTATCTACATTACAGGTTTATAACTTACTTCAAACAGCGTTTCTTATCTTAACCATTCAGAATGTTACATTCTTGATAAGGGGCAGATATTAATAAATTGACAAGTAATTAGGATGTTTCGTAGAAACGTCTTAAATATTGTTAAAGGGATAGTATGAAACATATTTAACACTAAACTTACCAACATATAATGTACACTTACTTTGAAATTAAAAATGAAGTTAAAGAATATACAAACGACGAAATATAAATTAGCACACATATTTATTCTTTATCTTGATGAAAATCAATGCTGATTTCAAGGAATATACTTTAACAAAATGTGTATCTTATAATAAGAAACTTGTGCTGCGGTTATTTGACCGGTTTGGTAGGTTTATTGTTAATAAATAATGTTAACAAATTTTACTGACCTTTATTGGCTTGACGACGTCGTAGTGGCTCTCCTGCGCTCTGGGATCGTACGTGTTGCCTAGTGCCGAGTTCTGTCTTCTGTGAACATTATTCAACATTTATAGTGGACTTTTGTTATACTGTGCAAGAGTTGAGTAGAGGAAACGACAGATTTTTAAGATTTTATCAAACTACCCATAAATTCTTAAATACAGAAATTCTCAAATGTAGAAATTCTCAAATACAGAAATTCTCAAATATAGAAATTCTCAAACTACCATAAATTCTCAAATATAGAAATGATCAAATATAGAAACTCTCAAATACAGGAATTCTCAAGTACCGAAATTCTCAAATACAGAAATTCTCAAATATAGAAACTCTCAAATATAGAAACTCTCAAATACAGAAATTCTCAAGTACAGAAATTCTCAAATACAGAAATTCTCAAATATAGAAACTCTCAAATATAGAAATTCTCAAGTGCAGAAATTCTCAAGTACAGAAATTCTCAAATCCCCAAATTCTCAAGTACAGAAATTCTCAAATCCCCAAATTCTCAAACACAAAAATTCTCAAATCCCAACTTTCTAAAACCCCAACCCACCCTTCCAAATGATCAAACGCACAAATTTCTCCGTCCAATCTTCCCACAATTAACTCCCACTTAGGTTAACATTGTAAAATCATAATAAATCAAAAAGAGGTACTTACACCATAGGTTCGGAGCCATTGATCACAGGTTTGGGTGACTGTATTCCGGACCTAGCAGGGGTGCTGGTGTGAACAGGTGACGGTCCTTTGCTCCCCAAAGGCTGCTTTATACTGCAATCACCCCAAAAAAGAGCCATCAATTTCAACCATAATCCCGACACTGTATTACACAGAATATCCGATATTAAAAACCATGAGAATCAGCAAATTACACGTTCGATCCACGTATTATTTACTGATCCACAAAATTTTCTCAGGGGTTTAAAGTGGCTATTTGGCAGCGAAGGCATCGCTGTTGGCAAATGCTTTAGGGTCACCGGCAATCAAGATTTCCTATAGAATATCATCAAAGTGGGGACGATGGGGTTAGGAAAGGTCATCCAAGACACTAGTCCATTATTCAAGCAGGACGTGATTTATGGAAACAAGGTATCCCGCATCCTTTACACGCGCTGAATGAATGCACGCTTTGTTGTTAGCTATAATGTTAGCTTTTAAGCTGGTTCCACGTGAACACGCTTGTTTTCGTGCATTATTTATTGCGTAATAAGATGGTCATGAAACTGTGACTAATTAAGGCGATCTTTCCATCAAATTGCCCGCATACTTTTCTGTTTTTGTTATTGCATTTTTAGGATTTAGTTATTGCGTTTGTAGGAAGTAAAACATTTTCGTTATTATTTAGAAATCTATTGCGTCTAATATATTTTATAAACGACTCACTGACAAATATCGACGTAAATCTGTTAAAATTATTTCAAATTAATGAACCGGTTACTTCGTTAAAATTTAGTACTTACCAAGATGTAAATTAAAGAAGTAGCTGTAGAATATTAAAAAATTAGCTTCCTTATGTTATATCGAAATTTTCTTTGGTTCGTTAAGTTTTAGCAATTTCACAATGGACAATTAAGGCTTGATAAAACTCTTTAAGTAATTAAGAATGGTAATATTTTAGGAATCAGAATCACTGTGCAATTACTCCGAGCAGCGTGTATCAACGTAACGGAGTCTTCGTGTGTTTACAACTAACAGAACATAATGTACGGAACGTTTTTTTAAACGGTCGCGTGATCAAACCTCGCGTGTTTTACAAATATTTTCTACCTCTGACGTTGAACAGTTTTTGTCCAAGCTCGATTTCCGAATATTCGTGTTCCGTTACGTGCACTTATCATACGCTAATTTTCCAAAACACCGATGCATAACTTCGCTTTTCACAGTTGTGAGAATTGATATGTGTTTAACGTGTGTCTGGGAAACGGAAACTGCTCATAATGAGCGTCGCATTCTAAACGAACGAGATGGTTCACAGAATTATCTATTTGAATGTGAAGAGTATTTTTGAAAAGAAACAATTAATACCTTCATTATGTCGTACAATGAAACAATGGCGATAATGAGATACAATAATAGATTTTACATTGCAATTATTATTGATGTATTTTATAAATGTGGGAAATATGGAAGCTAAGTTTGTAACTACAGGTATTGAGGTTTCTAAAAAATTTTAAATTATGCTGTTAACCAAGTGACAAACTCATCAAATATCAACTCAATTGGTTAGGTGTTCATGCTATTAACACCCAATTGATGTATCAAATATGGCCAACACCCATTCATGTATCAAATATGGGCACCACCCAACTGATGTATGTACACTAATTTTAGATACATGAAACTTAAGAAAATATTTGTTGTATGTCTTCTTTATCGAGAATGTTCATATCTGCACGTTCAGTCTTTTTCCATTTAACAACCACATATGTGAACATCTCAATAACCACATATGTGGACATGTGCAAAGTCAATGTAAGTCGAATTTGCTTACATAAAAAAGGAGGTGATCTTGATTCTTGTACGATGCACATGTGTGAACAATTCGACTAGAAGCAATGCGGATCCATAGGTTCACCTGCCAACTGTAGACGTGTGTCCACTATCAATTTCGGAATTTTTGTTATTCATTCAATAAAAATTTCTGTTTGAAATTTTGCTGATTCTTGTACGGTGCACATGTGTGAACAATTCGACAGCCACATATGTGGACATGTACAAAATCAATGTAAGTCGAATTTAGTTACATAAAAAAGAGGTGATCTTGATTCTTGTACGATGCACATGTGTGAACAATTCGACAGCCACATATGTGGACATGTGCAAAATCAATGTAAGTCGAATTTAGTTACATAAAAAAGGAGGTGATCTTGATTCTTGTACGTTGCATGCCTAATAAGTTGGCAGTTAGAAGCAATGCGGATCCATAGGTTCACCTGCCAACTGTAGACGTGTGTCCACTATCAATTTCGGAATTTTTGTTATTCATTCAATAAAAATTTCTGTTTGAAATTTTGTGAAAATTTGAAGAAACTTGAGATTAATCAGAGGTTAATATACTAGATGTTAAATGCGATACTGCAAGAGATACCACGAAACGACCACGAAGGTTCACCCATCTAACATATTAAACACAATAATATCGCACAGCAGAATATTGTCAAATAGAAAAAACACGAGTCAAGCAAGGAATCAAAACTGCCTAATGAAAAAAAGAAAGTGATAAGATCAAATAATGTACCGATTGACACATGGGGGCGTAGAACCGGCGCTCTTCAAGCTGCACGTGCTCCCATGGCTGTTCTGTTTGGTGTAAATCGGCCGATTGTTGGGCGCCACACTAACACGCTCTGCGATACGAAACCGCGGTACAGTTGGTTTATGATAAATCATGATGTTTGATAGACGTAGAACACAGGCAAGAAGTTCACACTTTCATCTCGAGACGTCTGGTCGACCGTGACACCAGAGGAACGCGACCGCGTTTCCGATTAAAAGGACGATCGAACGTGGAGGATCGTAGCGATTTGACCGTGGTGGAATTCAAAGTGGTCACCGGGGTCTTATTTAGGGAGCGTGATCGAGCAACGAACGGAATGCTAGGATCGCGAGGCTACGGAACGGTGCACGTTACAACAGGGGAACACGATGCTGCTGCGGAGGAAGCCCGACGTGGAGTATCGAGGGAGCTCGAGCGACGGCTACGATTTCGCCCGCCACCGACATTACACTCGACTGAGAACTCTACTATACGTCGACACTGACTACGCTCGTAATAACAAAGCGTATCGACGCGACCTATCACAGTCCGCTTTGATTCCCGCGGATATGCTCCCCTTCGCTACGCCTGCGATCAGCTGTCATGGATTATTTTACATATGCACATCACTATATCTAGATCCTACTTTAAAAATTAACGCTCTTCGTTTCATGACAATTTTACTATTATGTACCGTATTATAAGCGGGGTTTTTACTATTTTACAATTTTACTATTATTCCGTAACATAAGCGGGGTTCGCATTATTTAATATTGCGCGGGAGATTCAAAATTTCAATTTTTCACAGTTGAAAAATTAATTTAATACAGTCATGGGACTCTGACAATCAAGTATTACATAGTAAAAAAATCTGTTTATATGGTCTTTACGATTTCTCTTGATTATACAACACCAGGGCCATATAGCGAGACTCTTGCTTATGAAGTTACTATAACACCTTATACCTTACTAACCTCGCTAAAAATTATCTTCAAAGGTAAAAAATACTATTACAACTATCTCAAAGCCTACATATTACAATCACAACATTTATCAATAAAAAATATAACCTACAAATGTTACTAAACCACGAAACTTTTTCAATAAAAAATTATTCCTTTCCCAACCAAAGTTTATATCATTACCAAAAACGATAGAAAATGAAAAATACAAGAAAATACAATAACAAAAAAATTTGAATCACAAAATAGAATTTGTGGAAATATTTTGCAAAATTCAAATGTTTTGAAAGCTCCGAAATACAGATCCTCATGTTTGTTGGTTTATTAATCTTTTGTGCCTCGAACGTTTGTTTTCTGACTGTGCAAATTTTATGAATGGTTCGACGAGAGAGTTCGATTCACCGAACACCTGTTTGAGTCAGGGTTTTGATTACGATATGGATTTTGAAAGAGAACGTCGTGAAGAATGTATATCTGGAACACGATTATTTGTGAAACAGTATATTTACGATGCACTTTATGTTCCACTAAGATTGTGATATTTTTATTTTTATTTGCGGTTTATCTGTGAGCTTATACTCGCTAGACTGCGTGTAATATAAGTGCGATAAGATTAATTTATATCTAGAAAAGTTTCTGTAAAATTTCTAATAAAATAAAAATGAGAAATATGACATATGTGTATAATTGTCTCTTATTTATTAATAGACCAACAATAAAGCTTGATTAAAAAGTATCTGAAGTTTAAGGAAACAAAATATTTCTCCGTAAAGTTCATCAAATCATAGCCAGACTCATATATACTATTGCAATATGACGAGACATTTTCAACCCACGAGTACCTGCAATCGATTCACCTTGAACCAAAGCAAACTAACCTACAATCCAGTTTTTTCGCGTGCAAACATTTACAGCACCTGCTATTCTCCGATGTTAACGAAGCGGTTTAATACGAGATGTTACGTACGTTTTGATATCCCGTTTTGATCGCTCGAGCCTCGAACAAAGCCACGTTTGTGACCAATCTCGGTCGGTCACGCGTACTAATTACACGCAAGTAAGTAGGTGGACAAGATCGCCGCTGCTGGTGCCATAACGTTGCCGAGGAGTCGAGAAAATGCAGCTGCCGAGCCAAGAAAATCCTCGAATGACTGGCAACTGTCGTCGATCCTCTCAGAGAAAGCAACGTCCGTGACGATCGCGTGTCGACCGCTCGACAACTCGAACGAATCGGGAATGTGCACCCGAGACACTCGAAAATTTCATCTTTCTACGCTAATTTCGTCCTCTAACAAGTTTAACTCGTGTCATTTCTTTGGCAGCTACATGCCTCGCGTTCGTAATGCGATTTTAATGGCAATTATTTCATTACTTTTATTTCTTGTGCAAATTTGAGGTGTTAACTATCATCGTTCATTTCGTTCTTATTTTTCGTTTGAAGCAAATGCTATTGTCATACACTGTATTTGTCATGTGTGGAGGTTGAATATGTGCATTTGTCATGAGCATTTGCTACGTAACGAGTTTCATATGTATTGTATTTTCAATGAGAT